AGAATAAGAACAATTAGTTCCAACTTGTCATCTTTAAAAATTATGCTTCATTTGGTGGACAGTAGGATAATAAAAAGAATGAGACCATTTTGTCCTCACGGCAAAATAATAGTTGAGGCAGATGGATGAAGGAATGATTTGAGAGGAGATCAAGAGAGGAGAGAATGAGGAAAATTTGGTTCGCAGCAAATTATAGGATCCAACTAATCTTTTGCCATGGGAGTCACTACTACTTGATACATTCCACACCAACTAATTTTTTGCTAGGAGACAAAGTAAGTGTCATTCCCTCCCTTCTCTGCCCCCTCCCCAAACAGACCACTAAGAACAGAGATCAAGATATTTGTGTGATGAAAGAATTACTGTCCTTGGCTCGCCTCCACCTCCCTTCCTCTCCTTCCCCTGCTGATAGAAATTGAAAATACACAATATTGTGATTGATATTTCCCCACTTCAATGAAATAAATGAATATGGTTGACTTCTTGAGCTTGCTGCAGATGATACGTATGATGCTGATCAGTCATATCTGGTTAGATAGTAGGGGTAAAAAGTTTTGGACAAGAAAGTGTCTTCACATGCATAAAGCCATTTTCTGAAATCTTATGTCAGGATTGCTTTATCAGAACAAGTCATGTATAGTTTCTCTTTTATTGTCCACACAGTGCACGATTATAGTGGAAAGGTCATCTATCAAAGAGTTGAATGCTTATAGTTGAACTTATATGCATGCTTGAAAGTGTAAGTTATGCTATTAGTTACAAACACGATGGATATTTAGCTTGCCATTGATGCAATTTTGGGTAAAGAATGAAATCAACCTCATTAAGTATAGCCTTTTTAAAAGATTACAGACATACCCATATGCAGATGCTTTTGTTTCCTGCCCTTCTGCTTTGTTTCTATTTTTCTATATTTACTTGACAAAACTAGGTGATCATCCACTGCTTATGAATTTGACAGTAAGAAAAACAGCCAGCTTAGCTTACGTAGCCTTTAAGCATTATATTTAAGTAGTTGAATTGCTTCATTTTCCTTGAGTGGACAGGCCACAATGGGGCTTGTATATTTCATATTTATTGCCTTGAACAAAGATCAAGGTCCTAGAGGAGGTGGTGGGTCTAAGTCCGGCCCAATGGAAGACCCTATAGAAGAAGCAAGGAGAATAATGGAAAAATACAAGTAGCTCTGCCAGAGCAAACTGCCAAAGATTAACCATTCAATTTTCTTTTGCTTGTCCTATGTATGCACTGTAGAGACTAAAAACAATAGTCATAAACAGGGAGTACATATGTTTTTCCGTATACAGAAATCCTTCCTGTGTCACTTACTGCATATTCTTAGCCTTTTCTTATGTCTCTTTCTAATACATTGAGGTTAAGTTTGATTGAATTTTGTTTTACATTCTGTCACTATTATCAACTAGGACATTCTTGAACATATAGAATATGATCATAGTTTTAATATTTGTTCATTATTATATCAATTTCATTCCAATCTTGAATTTATTGATTTTTTTAGGTAAAATTAACAAAATAGAACCATATGTTCCTAGTCTTCCATGCTAATAATGCACCTCAAGCCCTCCCCGTTAACCATGTAATCAAATGCTTTGTTGATCTCAGAGAAAGGTACCCGATGAGTTATGAATTTCTCCAATTCCAATTTCTGCAGATTACAAAAAAAACAAACAACAAAGTTTATATCAAACACGTCTTCTCTGCACATAAAACCTGTAACTTGTCATGAATTGTACCTTGTTAATGTACATGTCAACGACAGAGGGGAGATCGGTTCTTGGCTTATAGTTTGCGAAGAAAGTTCCTTTTAGTGTCCTTTCATTCAGCAAATTTATTGGCTTAGTCATGAACAAAGCATCCTTATTGGGCACCCCAACAAGCACAGCCACACCCCAACCCTGCATATTGTTGTTCCAGTAAAATCAAGAACAAACACTTAAAAGTATGAACCAACTAGGCTCCTCAATCTAACATCAAAGCTGAAATTACAATTCCTACTTTCATTTCTTTAACCCCCAGATTCAAAGATAACACAATGATTATATATGATAAATATATATACATATATATATGTACATATATTGTTGCAAAATGGTAAACCATACAATAGTTTTAGACAGTAAGAGGAAGAACCGTACATCATGAACGCATTCAAATGCTGAGATCATAGCATTGGTATTGCCAGTGCACTCCACACTACGGTCCACTCCACCATTTGTCATCTCTACAAGAACCTAAATATCTCAGAAAACAAGTGTTTTTATGGGTCAGTTGACTTTTAGCGTAAATGTATAATATAACATGATGTACACAGGTGATGTAAAAGAACTCTTGGAATGGTGTATATGAAACCGGAAGAGCTACCCAAGAAAGTAGAAAGAAAATCTTCACCTCTTGAATTGGTCTGTTATGGTTCTTCGGATTCACAAATTCTGTTACTCCAAACTTCTTGGCTAAAATTCATTAAAGAGAACAGAAAAATTGCTTAAGTTTCTGCCTTGATGCCCTGTTAAAGATTGTATAATCAAAATATATAGGTAAACAAAAATTTAGGTTACCTTCCTGAAACCTACTAGGGTTCAAATCCACCCCAATTATCCTCGAAGCGCCTGCAATTCTTGCACCTTCAGCAGCCTACAGATGAAAATTCGAAGGTAAGGGTCATTTTGTTAGGATAAAACAGAAGGCTTTTATCTAAAGATACAATATATTTTACCCAAATGTAAATGTTCCTGAAACTTACAGCTAGACCTACAGCTCCAAGCCCAAAGACTGCAACAGATGAACCCTTCTTAGGTTTTGCCACATTCAAAGTTGCTCCTAATCCTGAAATTTTCAAATAAATTAAACTCCTCAACACCATTTTTTAAGAGAAATCATTTTGTTATATCCAAGGTTTATAGACGGACCTGTTGAGATGCCACAACTAAGGATGCATACTTTATCCAAGGGTGCTAGTGGATTGATTTTCGCAAGACAGCCGGAATGGATGACTGTGTATTCACTGAAAGTGGATGTGCCAAGAAAGTGATTTATGGGAGCTCCGTTGATCGAAAACCGAGATTTTCCATCAATAAGCATAACTCCCCTGTCTGTGTTTATTCTGAGCAAGTCACACATATTGCTCTCTTCAGATTTGCAATGCCCACATTCTCCACACTCCCCTGTGAAAACTGGGAGCACGTGGTCTCCAACCTCAAGGTCTTTTACACCTTCTCCCACACTCTCCACAATTCTGTTACGACATCTTACATGAGCTGCATTCAAATATATATTGCAATTACAACAAAACAAAATCAAGAAGAATTCCCACATCAAAAGTTTAATCTTTTAAGTATTGGTTTAATCCTTTTCACTCAGATTCTCTGGCCATGTGTTGATTAAAAGACCTTTTTTTCCCTTTTCCCAAAGGATAAAACACGAGACAACGTATCTTTAAGAAGCAAAAGAATGTGGGAATTTAGAAGTTGAATATTGTAGACCATGTAATGAAGTATTGAGAGCATACCCGGCTGCTTCATGGCCAAATATGCGAGGAAATAATGGTGTCTGGCCCTGAAAAAACCCGAAAAACATATATGTTAAGTCAAGAAATTAAATCAAGTAGCACAAAGAAACAAAAAAAGAGGAAACGCTGAAATAATAAATATTAATATTGTGATCTAAAACTAAGAGTAAAAAACAATATAAGCAACGGGTTTTAATCCAATAGTTATCTAGGTTCTCGTTCAGATTATGGATCTTAGTTTTAACACTTGTTTAGCGTTTACATTGTATTCAAAAAAGAAATAAAAAATAAGATAGAGAGGGGAAAAGTGACCTTAGCTTCCCAGAAGTAGAGATCAGTGTGGCAAAGAGAGGTATATTTGACCTTGATCCTCACTTCCATGGCCTGTGGTGGAGCAACCTGCACCGTCTCAATCACCAATGGCTTCCCGGCCTCCCATGCAACAGCAGCTGCAATTACAAACATCTCATACACCATCACCGCCATTACCAATTCCAACCAAAAAAAAAAAAAACAAAGTATTAAAAAAAATATTGGAAATTTTTCAATAAGAATCCCATTTCCAGAAGTAAGTTAACGAATGGACTGATTTAGGTGCTAAAGACTCCATTACCCCACTTCTGATTTGCAGAAGTACCAGGCAAAGGACCTGTCTACACTGGAAAAGAGATGAGAAGCCAATTTTCTAGATTCTGGGTCTATTCAGTTTTCTAGCAGATCGCTTTTCTTTTAGAAGAAAAACGTCATCTAGCTCTCTCTCTGTATTATTTTTTCTTTCTTTTTTTATTATTAAAAAAAAAAAATCTTACTTTGATTGGAACCCCCACTATCTTCCTCCACCAAAAACAAAAAAAAAAAAGCCTGTAAAACCCAAAAGATGGAAAATGCATACCTTTGCAGGGAATAACAAGACCGGCTGTAGTAGACATACGTTCTTGAGCCTGAGAATGCAGTGAACGGAACAGGCTCCTTTGGGGAAGACCAGTAGGAGGTTTGAAAAATGGCAAACCAAAAGTCTGCTTGTATAATAATAGCTTACTACCAAGCGTCAAAAGTCTTATCCTGGGATGCATGTGATGCATCTATGATCTGATATTACGTGATTCTTCAGTGCACGTACATGCATATAATTGTACTCGTTGCGTATGTATACAAGAACAATTGGTCAAAACCATTTCACACAGATAATGTAGCACCCGGAAAGGAGGAGGAAAAAAAAAAAAAAAAGTCACGTCAGCAGTCACGTCAGCAGGCCCGGTCAGCAGTCCCAGCCAACCAGGACCTGCCACGTGGCAATACCACGTCGTTCCAAAAGGGCCACGTTGGCGATCCGCGTGGGCGCGATCGGACGGCCCAGATCAAGTGGGCGATCGGACGGCCCAGATTTAATCGCACGGACGGCCCAGATTTAATCAAAAACGGACGGCCTAGATTAAAACAAAATGGACGGCTGAGATCAAAGGGCAAGGGGTTATAAATAGAACCCCCACACCAGACCACAAACCCTAGCCGCCTGCCGCTCGCCGGAGAAGACGAACCAGAAGCCGGCCGCCGCCGCACCGGAGGAACTTCCGACCGTCGATCGAGGTAAATTTCGTACCCCCGACTCGTTTTTCCACGCTGATTCCTCCTGTGGCCAAATCGGAGCCAAAATCCCGGCCAAACGGCCGGAATACACGGCCGAAGCCCAGCGGCGCCGCCGCGCCCCTTCTCGGTTTTTGCCTCCGATGAGGCCCTTCCCGGCCTCCGTTTGATGCAATTTTTATATCACCGTGATCACCATTCTTTTCTCTACAGGTTGACCAGAGCCGAATCACCAAAACACGAACCTCGCCGGAGAGCCGTCGCACCCGAGAGCGCCGCCGCCGGTAAGCTCCGTTTTTCCGTAATTTTTTGGCCCCCCGAGGGCCCTAGGGTTGTTTTCTCACAGGGACCGATGCGAGTGTGGCCGAAAACAGCCAACCCGAGGCAACTGCGGCGGCGCCGTCGCCGGAGCACGGCGGAGCCGCCGTGCCGGAGTTGCGATTTGGGCCGATTGAGGCCCTGGGTCTAATTTGGGTTTTTTTTTGGAGCACGTGCAAGTACCAGTAGTGCGTTTCAGTTCCCCGGAAAAAATTCAGGGAAAATTAGGGACAGCCTGTAGGCGCACTGTGAAGCCGTGTTCGGACCCCGAAACGTGTAAGGACCCCTCACCCTATTTTCTATCACGGTATTAAAGTTCAAAATGATAAAACGGTATTTCTTGAATTAACGAATGTGTGAAATTGCTTAAGGTGGCTAATGGAGCCCGAGTCTAGTGTGATTGGTGATTTACTGTTATTTGGCATGTTTACAGCTTTAAATGCAAAATGAGGTTTGATGTGTTCATTTTACAGATTTGTGTGCATATACTACGTTTTTATTAATTATGGGTTGAATGACTGAAAAACTGATACTGTATGTTGTCTGTTTGGCATGAATTACGATTTGCTTGTTTAAATGTGAATTGATGATGCTGACTGAGGAAAAGGAAAATGAAAGATTGTGTAGACTGATAATTGTATTATGGGGGTCAGCTTGACTAGATATCCTGGGAGATGGTGGACGGACCGGGTCCGTAGGGAACCCTACCGGGATTGTGGTCTCACATGCCGGACGGGGTATGGAGATCTTATGGTTTTGGCGCCCATACCGGACGGGGGTGGGGACGGCCCGTTTCACCCTCATACCGGACGGGGTATTGAGGTTTATGGTTTTGGCGCCCATACCGGACGGGGTATGGGGACGGCTCGTTTCACCCTCATACCGGATGGGGTATTGAGGTTTATGGTTTGGCGCCCATACCGGACGGGGTATGGGGACGGCCCTGGAAACTGATTATGAATGTTAAAGGTTAACGGGTAGCGGGACCCCTATGGACCCCCACGGATACTAGTAGGCTGGTAAATGAGAAAAAGATATGTTGTACAATGCTTGAATTACAAGAGGCGTGATAAGTGTTACGTTTTACAGCTTATATTATTCCATGATTATGATAATGTTATTGTTGTTCTTATATTGTTTTCATAAATTCCACCGAGATAAGTGGATGGTAAAGGTTTTTATGTTAATAAGCGAGTTTATTGTAAATTATGCTCCATTGGTCTTTTTGTGTTTTCTACCCATCTTTACCTCCGTGACGGTGAGATATCGTGATGTTCTTACTGGGCTAGTGTAGCTCACTCCTTATTTAACCATTTCTGATCAGGAAGACATGGTTCCCGAGCCCGTTCCGCAGGAGGACGACGAAAGGGATGCCTAGAGACTCTGTAGTCATACTCATAGCTTTGTTTTCGAGTTTCTCTTTTAGTTAGTTTAACATTTTATAATTTAAGTACGTTTTTGGTTTTCGTGTGAGGGATGTCAACTGAAATTTTGATATCGCTTTCGCATTTGATATATTTAAATACTCATTTCATTTTAATATTTCCGGAGCCGTTACAGATAATCTGTAATTTAGGACAAAGAATCAAAGAAATCGTGTTTTTGACTTGGACATAAAGAAGATGATTTGGATTTTCTTTATTCTCCACTGGATTCTTGCTTAGTTTATAAGGGGATTTTTTTATTTGAGCTGAAAGATAAGATTCGAATTTAGATCAATTATACACTTATAAATTATCAATTATGTTATTTGAACTAGATATAAAGAAAATTTTATTTAATATGTAAAAAAAAATATTATTTATTTTTATTGTGAGCAACCATGTTTTAGTAATAATAAGAATGTTTTTTTTTTTTTTTGGGAATAATTTTTGTTATTTTTACAATGCATTGTTGAGGAAATTTATTCACGAATTTAAAATATTATTGGAGATATAATAAATTCAATTTTAGAAATGATACTACAATATAAATATATACGTTTTGTCATTAATAAATTTGAAGTACTTCTTCTGATAATTATGATAAATATTTTTAATTTTCGATATTTGAGCACATACCTTTTAATTTAAAAATACCTTAAGGTAAATATTATTAATTATTTATCTATAATTTATTTGTTATATCAAGTAAAAGATTATAATTTTGAAAGACAAACTGTTTATTTATTATTGGAAGTAAAAACTTAAGCTTTTTTTAGGCAAAATTTATTTATTATTTATTGTATATGAAATCGTTGACTTAATTTTTGTTTTATTATTGTATATAAAATTATTGATTTAACTTTTTTATAAAAAAAAGAATAAATAATATATCTAATTAAATAAATTTTTAATCTTAAACCTCGAACCATAAAAATACTAATAATATCTTGACTGCATTCTGAGTAATTCCTCATCCTCGACGAGGAAGCAGGGCTGTGTGGCACCTGCGGACTATACGTAAATCTGTGTCGTGGGTGGTAATGTATATATGTGCAATCTGTAAATGGGTGCATGGGAACTTCAGTGAAGATCACAGATCAATTAGTATGTCTCAACCATGCTGAACAAAGTTTCAAAGAGCTACTTTTAAAATCACGAACTAAACAAAATTATTAATTTCAATTCATTTTCAAAGCAGAGAGGACCTGTTAATTTCAAATCACGGTAGCCGCTGAAGATGACATCTTAAACATCCTTAATCATTTCATCTGGGTTTGGCGTGAGTTTCAACAGCACTACTCAAAACATACATACACATATTTTATATTGTATTGTATTGTATGTATGTATGTATATATATATATATATATATATATATAAATATATGTATATGTCAATGATTTATATGCCCACTTAAACATCATTTTGGAATCTCAAATATTTGAAATTGAATCATTTTTGAAAGAGAATTTTATGGTCTCCGGCTATATGGGGGGGCATAGGTGGAGCTACCCTTTCAATCACATATCATTTTGAGACATTACCCATTAATCAATTCAAGAAATGATAATTTTTAGGATTAAAATATGTGGCCTGGTTTACTTCTTTTGGACCATAACAGAGTCTCAATCCAATTGACATGAATGTAACTTCTCGAAATTCCTCCATTAAGCGGCTCCCGGACACATGTTTGATTCACCTTCGAACTTTGATCTTCTTTGTAGGCTGACCCACGAGCATGTGGGCCCAATTTAAAACGTACAAACTCCCTTCCTATGCCGTCAACCTCAATGTACTTTCTCCATCACCCACCTTCAATACCCACTTGGTCAACGCCCAACAGTCAGACGTATCCAAGTTCGAGTAATCCTACGGCCATTAACAAACGACCACAATTCATCAAATGCGCCCGTCTTCAAATTGTACCTCGGAGCGACAAAACTTGGTGGCGACATGCATAGAAAATAAAAAATCTTCTCTTCTCTTCTTTCTTGAATAGTGGAAAGCTTAAAAAGAGCGAGCGTGCAGGCAATAATATATACAAATCAAATGGGTCTCGTCTCAGGTGTAGCTCTTCATTGTTTCATCTTCAATCTTGCGTCAACATCGGACGGTCGATAATGCAAGATTGTGATAGTTGTAACTTGTTGATGTTGATTGTGGGTGGATGGTATTATCTGGTCAAAATCATGACCGTTGAAGCGTAAGACTACGAGGGTTCTGTAGAGGGTACTGATAGCCAATACTCTGTCAGCTTTCCCAAAAGGAGGAGCGGCCCCCCCTCCGCCCTCCCTTCTTCCCTCTCCTAGAACTCCACAAAAACCACAATGTCACCTTTCTCCTTTCTCTCTCTTTCTCTCTCTGCTTCTTTCATGGCTGTTTTGAAGCTTTATGCGTTCTTCATTTTCTTCTTCTTCTTCTTCCTAACTAAATGTCTGTGTACAAGTACAGCGCTTACTTTCTCACCATCTTCTTCTTCTTCTCCTCCTTCTTCGTCAGATGTCGAACTGCTTCTTGGACAAATAAAAGCTTCACTTCAAGGTAACTCTGACAATTTGCTCTTATCTTCATGGAACTCCTCGATACCCCTCTGTCAGTGGAGAGGGCTCAAGTGGGTCTTCTTCGATGGGACTCCTCTCTCTTGTACTGACCCCTCTTCGCCACAATGGACCAATCTCACTCTGTACAGAGACCCAGCTCTGCACCTTTTCTCTCTTCAGCTCCCTTCTGCTAACCTCACTGGTTCACTCCCTAGGGAGTTAGGCGTCTTCTCTATGCTTCAAAGTCTCTACCTCAACATCAACTCACTGAGTGGAACCATCCCTCTTGAGCTCGGTTACAGCTCTTCGCTCTCTGATATTGATTTGGGTGATAACTTGCTGACTGGGCCTTTAGCACCCTCAATTTGGAACTTATGTGATAAGCTTGTTTCCGTTAGGCTTCATGGCAATTCATTATCTGGGTCTCTTCCTGAACCTGCACTGCCAAACTCTACATGCAAGAACTTGCAGTTTCTTGATTTGGGTAGCAACGAGTTGTCCGGGAATTTCCCCGAATTTATTGCCTTGTTTCAAAGTCTAAAGCAGCTTGATCTTTCGAATAATAAGTTTTCAGGCTCTATTCCGCAAAGCTTAGCTGCGCTGAACCTCGAAAAATTGAATCTTTCGCACAACAATTTTAGTGGAATGTTGCCTGTTTTTGGGGAATCTAAGTTTGGTGAGGAGGCTTTTGAAGGAAATGACCCTCGACTTTGTGGGTTGCCTCTAAAAACCTGCAGTGGTAACTCTAGATTGAGCCCAGGTGCAATTGCTGGTCTTGTGATTGGTTTCATGACTGGAGTTGTGGTTTTGGCCTCGTTGCTGATCGGTTATGTACAAAACAAGAAGAGGAAGAGTAGAGATGAGAGTGAAGATGAATTGGAGGAAGGAGAAGAAGATGAGAATGGTGTTCTTGTTGGTGGAGGAGGAGGAGGTGGTGAAGGAAAGCTGATTTTGTTTCAAGGCGGCGAGCATTTAACATTAGAGGATGTGCTGAATGCAACAGGTCAGGTGACAGAGAAAACAAGTTATGGGACCGTTTACAAAGCAAAGCTTGCTGATGGAGGGACAATTGCCTTGAGGCTTTTGAGGGAAGGTAGCTGCAAAGATCGGAGTTCATGTTTACCAGTGATAAAGCAACTGGGAAGGATTCGTCATGAGAATTTGGTTCCATTGAGAGCTTTCTATCAGGGAAAAAGAGGGGAAAAGCTACTCATCTATGACTATCTCCCCAATAGAAGCCTCTATGATCTTTTACACGGTATGCATACTTTTTGCATCTCCTTCTGCTTTTTGCAATTTACAGCCTTTGGGATTTGCTAAATCGTTTAGTACCCTAATTATAAGAACAAGCCTTTTGTGATTCTTGAAAAGCTTGGTAGTTGGTAGGTGTTATTAAGTATGAGCTGAAAATAAATGAGGAAGAAACGTTCAACACTATGTATTGCTTGTAGTAGAAATGGTTGTTTCACTGATGGAAAGCATGGGAAAACTTAGAAGTAAGATGTATGAACCCACCATGACAGCATGATCAAGTTCATAACTTCATACCAAAATGGAGAAACTCCAGAAACCCTCTTACTAATTAATGGTAGGACAAATATACTATGGTTTGGTAAACAGCTCTATCTTGTAATTGTGTATCCGTCGGACTCTTCTACTTGTACTATGCCACAAATAGCATATTTATCATACATCAATACACAAAGATAACTTGTTCATAAATTCTACATGGTATAGAGCTGCATTAGACTTCTTTTTACCATCTTATTCTCCTATATCTTCTTTCAATATTGCTCCTTCCTGAAGTATCTCATTCTCCTGTGTATTCTTCCATTATTGCTAACCTCGCATCTTCCTCTATCTTCACTTCGGCCCACCTGATCTTCTCACCCTTTATCGTCTCAAACGGATGTGTGTATATATATATATATATATATATATATGTATGTATCTGGTAAAGTCTAGATTTTGCAGGCTATCTTCTCTGGAAATATCAGTTTCTGCCTGCTTTTCAAGGGTATGGGTCAAATTGATGGAACTGTTGTTTTGCCTTGAACAACAATCACAGAAATCGCAAAGTGGGTGACAAACCCTGAGGCCATCTTTTCAAAACAGATTGATGCTCTCGACCTACTGTTGATCCAAGCTATTGTTTCTTCTGACATCCTCTGTTATCTCCTCAAACCCAATATTTCTATCATAGGTAGACTAGCCTTACTAATAATTGAGCAATTATTTGATGATCATCATACTCATGCCAGCCTTCTCCAGCTTAAATATGAATTTCACAATATTTTAAATCATAGTTATCCCCTTAATTGAGACCAACTCTAATCTATGATAACTTTAGTTCTTACATCCACTCTTAGAAGAGCTGCACCAGCAGCCCTGATTCTCTCCGTGGTACAGGATGGCAGATTGCTCCAGCAACCCACTCCTGTTTAAGCAATTCCTAGTATTCTTCTTACAAGGGCATCGTAATCTCGTCTAAAGGAATCTTATAGCTTTTGAGATCCTAAGTTTGTGGAACTTTAAGCCTTGTCTTAAATGGGGGAAAAGATCCTTTTTTTCTAGGCAAAACTCAGTTTCTAAATTCTATTTATTTTAGCTGTAGATATGCTAAATGCAGACAAGGTTGTGATATGTCTAAGTTTACATTCCTATATAATTTCTAAGCCAGTCCGACCTCTGTAAAGTGGATCTATCATCCATGATGTGAGTGGCCATGCACCTTTATTGTCAAGCAAGAAGCATTTACTTTCAGTCTGGATATAAAAATTTTTGTTCAAGAAAAAAGAACCTGAACTCATTGTAACTTAACATGAGTACAAATTTCCATGTGAATCATTGAACACTATAATGGAATTCTTATTGTGACTGTTCTGGTTGAATGCAGAAACCAAAGGAGGCAAACCCGTGCTGAACTGGGCTCGACGACACAAAATTGCGTTGGGAATAGCCAGGGGACTTGCGTATCTCCATACAGGATTTGAGGTGCCAATTACTCATGGAAATGTTAGATCAAAAAATGTACTAGTAGATGAATTTTTTTTGGCCAGACTCACAGAATTTGGGCTTGATAAAATAATGATACCGGCTGTAGCCGATGAAATCGTAGCACTTGCAAAGGCAGATGGGTACAAGGCACCAGAACTGCAAAGGATGAAGAAATGCAATTCCAGAACAGATGTTTATGCATTTGGGATACTTCTATTGGAAATTTTGATTGGTAAGAAGCCTGGCAAAAACGGGAGAAACAGTGAGTTTGTGGATTTGCCCTCGATGGTAAAAGTAGCAGTTTTGGAAGAGACAACCATGGAGGTTTTTGATGTGGAGGTTTTGAAGGGGATCAGAAGTCCAATGGAAGAGGGATTGGTTCAGGCCCTGAAGCTTGCTATGGGTTGCTGTGCTCCAGTAGCTTCAGTTAGGCCTACCATGGATGAAGTAGTGAAGCAGCTGGAGGAAAACAGACCAAGAAACAGATCTGCGTTGTACAGCCCTGCTGAAACAAGAAGTGGAAGTGGTACTCCTTTCTGATCTATCTTCTGAAAATGCTTTCATCAAATTCTGAGTTTCTTTTACTTTCATGTTAATCCGTTTCTCACCAAGTATTAATTGTAGCAGATGGTTATGTGGTTGTATGGAAGATCAATATTATTACTCTCCGATATGATTCAAAGCAATGCATCATAAAAAGTTTTCACAGACCCTAAGAGTGCGAAATATGTTGAATCTTGGTTCAGGGTCAAATTGTTGACACCACCAAGTGCCAAATCTTAAAAATAAGCCATTTTGCTGCTTATTTTCTTGCTCAGCCCATCCTTGCAAAAACAGAGACTTACTTTTTGACCATAAAATTAGAAAGAGTACTGTTTGAGTTGGTGTTCAAATGGCGACTTTGTTTAATCTGTCTTTTGGCAGGATTTCATGCCGTTGCATTTTGATTGTGTAGTCCACTCTTCTAGAGTCATCATAGCTGGACCCAAATGTTTATAGGCCTTATTTACACATCCATGATTGTGCATAATAATATGATGGTGGCTTGAGCCTACCCCACAGGTGGAGTGGTATCCCACCCAAAAAGTGGCCGCTGCTTCTGCAGTTTCAATCTAGCTACTATTCTAATCACTACCTTTAATTTGGAGGTAATATCATTCAACCATGTTAAATCAAGGCTTTTCACTAATCTTATCAGTCTTTATAGTTGAAACATTATGCATGTACCATGTGTCAAAGATATGTTAAAAATTCAAAGTTACTATGTTAGCTCCATGATGGTGAAACAGTATTGCCATGTCATAAGATTGGATTGAACTTGCTCAGCGCCCATTAAACTTTGTAAGTTCATCATATTCTGTAATCTGGTTATAAAGCATTAAAAATAACAGAAGCCTTGCATTCTGAATAATAAACCCTAGTGAAGGTGAAAACTAGTCACAGAAATTTTGTCCAAACTCGTCAAAGTACCCTGTGGTGGTGGGTACCTCCATGAACCTAAACCCACCCCTTCACTCTTGAAACAAGTAATTGGAATTTGTGTGTTAACGAGGAGAACATAGGTAGAGGAGTAGAAATTTAAGAATTATAAGGCAGATCGACTAAATAAATGGGAAGATTTATAAGGTACGTACATAAAAGAGAGAGGAAAATACAAAATAGAGAAGTGAACAACACTATGGCTCTTTAAAGCAAGCCTAGGTTGATCGATCAATGGGCATTATGACAAGTGAAACAATGTAATGTTTGGGGATTACAACAGGCGACGGCTTTGTAAAGGAAAGACTTTGTACACTTGTCAAATATGTTTGATGCTGAAAAAGAAAGACTCATTTCTTAGTACCTAAAATGATGGATGGCAAGGGAAGGAAAATGAGTATGTTTTCTTTCCGCTTACTTCTGTTTTTGTATTTCTTTAATTGTTTGGCCTTTTCCTTTGGCTGAAGATTGAGAATCAACATTGGGAACCATAGCGGCAAGAAAGAGCACCGGCGCTAGTAGTAATAGCACCAACCATGGAAGATGACTTGGCTGCTAAGCTTGAGGCCCTGGCATAACTTGCTGCAGCTCCAGCTCCTGATGGAGTGAAGAAGGCTCCATTCAGCAAAAGGTCTCCCTCTGATCTCCAATTCCAGTGCCTCCATGCACTATTTGGCGTCACAACCCTCTTTGTTACCTGTTCATGTTTTAAAAATTTTATGATTTTCATCTAGCCCGCTTTTAAAATTCTATCCGTGAGTCTCGTTAAACATTGATATCAACTACTCTTGTCTCTTACCTCTTTAGCGAAAGGGTTGGCAGGAGCAAGGTATCTGTTGCCCTGGCTGTTAATGGTGGGGTTGGCACTTCCACCGATTGCGTACATCACCCAATGTGTATAGTCATTGTTTACAACATGGAAATACCCATGTCTACACCTGCAATGTTAAAACAAGTTTTTTTTATCTCAAAGTTACTTTCCAAGGCGTCAATAAAGAAAAGACCAATAGTTAAAATCACCATAGTAGATATGTTACCTTGGCATTCTCTGGATAAGACCCTCACCAAAATGGTTGTAAGCAATGGTGACCTGCATTACCTTGTCTCTTGTGTAGGAATCACTGTGTCCCAGTAACATGACCTACATTTAAATCATATACAGAAACATAAAGTCATCTCAATTGGAGACAAATCAAGTGATAGACGAAGGTATGTGATCAACCTCGTTATGGTGAGTGAAATAGTTGTTAGATACGGTGATGGCAGTAGAGCCCATTACAGCATCGATGAGGCCATCAGCACAGTTTGACAAAGAATTGTGGTCAATCCAGATATGGCTTGATCCAAAGATTGAAATACCGTCTCCATCTGCCATTGTTCTCCACCCATAATGAGATGGGGAGCTCCTAACCATTGCATTCCCTGTGGGCTTACAATCATGGATATGAATACCGTGGATAATGATATTTGTGACAAACTGTATAGTTATACAGGCACCGTTAGCAATGTGCACATTGACACCACGTCCATCAATGGTCTTGAAACTGTTCATTATAAGCTCTTCCTTGAGCTTGATCACCATGTCACGCTTAAACACAATCCACAGAGGTTCATCCTGGATGACCGCATGGCGGAGAGTGCCTGGTTTAGGATTTACGGGGTCATCATCGCCAGGGTCACTGACAACATAGTACTTGCCGTCCCGACCACCAATGGCGCTGCGTCCAAAACCAATGCCACAGTTGGCTAGGCGCTTCCTGCGCAGGTGCCACTTGCGGTCACAGCGCCAGCAATCATCAATTGGATTGCCCGTTACACAAGAGAAGAATCCCAACTTTCGCCTTTCCGTACTATTACGTATGCTCCTGATTAAAAAGAAGAAAAAGAAAAAACAACAATATAATAAAATAAGCATTCCTTTGTTCTTCCGTAGCCTAACATCAATAAACTGAAGTCCCGTTGTTGATGTTCAGGTCAGAAATTGTTATTAGACCATTTAATGTGTTCCAAATTTGTAACTTATTGTTGGGTCGGCAATTTAAATTTTAATGGTTTAAAAAAAAGCATTCATGTGCTGCATCCTTGAGTAGGCCATGTGGGCCTTACGTGGAGTGTGTGAGGATGATTGATGGGTGACGATCCATACAGAGAAATCGGATATGTTTTTTTTTTTTTTAGCAGATGGGATATTTCTTTTATGTTTATTGACAACTAGCAGTAAATGAGAAATAAATGCAAAGTGGGGGAGGGATCTAATTCCTGTATAGTACTGTACAGTGCGTCGGTGGAATTTAAAAATGGGACATTTATTTGGATCATGCTGGTAGCTCGCTGAAAAACTCTGTTTTGTTTGTCTTAGCAATCTTGTGGTTTAATCTTTTTTTTTATAGTCTAGTTACAGATTCTTCACAAAATTCTATTACTTGAATTAGATGGGAATAAGAACTAAATCCAATTGAGTAACAAGGAAAAAAAAAAAAAAAAAGGTCGTTCGAGTTTCCTATTGAATCTGGTGAAACATTTCACCCAGTTAAAAACTATTTTTGTTCCGTTGTTGAAATGGATGACATAAAATCTGTTCCGAGGCATTAGATTCCCAGTAAAAGAAACAGTACCTACCCACCTGGCATATGCACAAGCGGATTGGAGAGGACACCTCATGGGTGAAATCGATTTTAAAATAGAAAAATAAGACAAAAAACATTTTTGGATTAATGTTTGCTGAACAGGTGCTATTAACATTAAAAATAAAATAAAATAAGTTTGATTAGAAAACAAAAAAGGTTTAGGGAATAAAATAAGAGAGTCGGCCGTACACAGATCTCGTGACATGGGCATGTGGGTAAGCTGGGAAGAAGACTAAAGAAGTTTGGGAGAGATGGCAACAGTAGAGAACATGCAACTGACTTGTCACATAATAAATTCCAAAGGAGATCCAATAGCCTATATCACTCAAAAAGACTCTTCACGATGGCCTTGACAATTTAATACGCAATAATATTCAAGCAACCAGATTATTTAAAAGCCTCTTAAAAAATTGAACGTCAAGACACATGTTAACAAGTAACTGAGAGTAGCTGCAATCTAGTATTACCTCCAATTACTATGCATATGCACTGACAGTTAAAACAAGAACCTCTGGATTAACAGGCAAACACTGTAAAAAAAAAAAATTGACATGACACAGTTAAGATCAAAATCCAGGCCAACAAATTACTTTTGTCTATTGGCTCTTTTGACTGGGCGGTGAAAAAGAACGCGTCAAAACTGTCAAAGCGGTCATTATCATGTGAGCCCTGTATGGCTAGCAATTTTTAGAAAAGAAAAAAGAGTTAAAAAAGTTTTTCACCTCCAGTCAACTATCAAGCAAGCTTAAGAGTGAAGATAATAAATTTGCGTAATTGGAAATTAAATATTAGATTAAGCAAACTCAGAATCAGATCAGTTATCTTCATCTGTTTTAGCGTGAAAAACAGAGAGACTCACATGTCAACCATAGAAGCAACTTCCTCTGGATCCTCCACCGCGTGCTCATGCCATGCATCATCAGACCTGAAATTAAGAGAAGGAAAAATATCATTTTCATCTGTAAACCCACCATTTTCTTAATTTTTGTTTTACACTAACAAATTCTCCCACGGATCCTAAACGACACCGTGTCGCAATATTCCCTTAAGGCAGTTATTATCTGCTGCTGTGCTTTAAATATTGACTGAACCGGACTAACAAGGGACACATTTTCGTACCCTGACCACTCTGTTTACACAGCGCGCTAAATCGACGTTACGGATAAACGAATTTCCATTAAATAAAAAACTAACATTACGGATTTAACGTTCCAGATTTGTTTGCAGATCCGATCTAAACGGATTAGATTTAATAGAATTTTTAACTGAATCATTCACCAAGCTCACCTGTCCGCTGTTGATGAGTTCTTCGAGCTCAGTGACTGCTCAATTTCATGGAACCTGGAAGGCAAATGAATTTTCCTTAAATCCTTATTTTAACGTAAAATATCCCTAATTTGGCGCCAATGTAGCACCTTAAACCTTTGATTTATCGATCTTTCAGAACAGAGAACTCAATACAAGAACGAAAAGAGGGAAAATGAAAGAGAAGAAACCTAGGAACAAGAAAGAAAGAAAAGTTGAGATAAACAGATAAGCTTACCTTGACTTAAACTCGTTACTCTCAGCAGCTGAGGAATATACACTCACGAAGAATACTATTATTAGAAACGCGAACAGAGAGAATGATCTCGGTGAAGCCGCCATTGTTGCTTTGTCAAAGTCCTCCGCCTCTCTCTCTCTCTCTCTCTCTCTCTCTCTCTGTTTATATATATATCTATTTATATATATGTCTTGAAGAAAATGTAGCTGCTTCTCTGAGTCTCTATCTGTTTATATGTGAAAATGGCTCAAGGAGTGAAGAAGAAGAATGGGGAAACAAATGTAGTCAAAGAATTGGTAAAAGGGAAGCGTGATTATATAGCCAAAAAAAAAAAGATGGGTTAGCAGCTTCCTAAATTTGCCTAACCTGTTAATTATTTTTGTATTTAAGCCCTTAAACCGTGGTTAACTTTAATTAACCCTCTCTTTTAACTCGCCTCTTTTAACCACCTTACCATCTCCCTTAACTGCCACTAACTGACTGACTCTTTTTTTTTTTTTAACTAGGCCACGTGTCCCAATTGTCGGTCACTACTTGCCAACCCGAAGTTTTCTTTTTTAGAGCTTTTTTTAGTAAAAAAAAATTAGGTGGCATTTTTAATCCGCTGTTATTAACCTTAATTAAAAAAATTTATCAACTATAAACATTTCTTACGCTAATTAATATAATAACATTAATGAGATTTGGTTCAATTTAATCTTTATGGTCTTAGACTATATTTTTTTAAGCTCTTATCTATACTTTCATTTAATTAATTAGTTAAAATTATTTTTTTTAAAATATTTAAATATAATTAATTATTTTATTTTTTTCAGTTATAAATAAAATAAAATATACTGTTAAAATAAATAAAAAAATATTATGAATTAAATTATAATAAAATAAAATTATAATTAGTGAAAACTAATTCAATAATTTAATAAATATAACAAGCTTTTTATGTGGCTTAGATTTTTAATTCAAATTTATTTTCATATATATATATTTAGTCATACTCATCAACGCGTTAATTTCCTTTTGAAAAAGTTATTTTACCTAATAATGCACTATAATTTCACTTTTGTGGTTCAAAAATTAAAATCAAACTATTGACTTATTTTATTTTTTAAGAATTTCTTATCGTACTTTTGATTTTTAAAATGCACGTGAATTTTATGTTAATAGCATTAAACTATGTTGAAAATTGAGATAATTATTTTAATTTAATTATTATTGAAATTCATATTTACTTTTTAGTAGCTATTGATAAAAAATTTGGCGGAAATAGAATAATACATTTCAAAAGTTTATGACATTAAATTCGCATGCGATATAGTTAGATCAAAAGTAAGAAATGGAATAAAAAAACTTAAGAAATTTTATAATATGAATCAATTAAACTAAGAACCTTAGGGATAAAAAATCTTAATAATAAAAAATTATTGAACTATAAATACAAATGGTGCAATGATAAAAAAATATATATAGATTGGACTAAATTAGAATGAAACTATAAAAAACTAAAAATTCTAACTCAAAATTATTATAAAATTTGATTAAATTAATTTTTTAAATTTTATTTTAATTTAAATTGATTCTATTTCACAAATTTAAAATATGATAAAATAGAACGTAATGGAACAAGTTTTAACTTTAATTTGATAAATTTCAAAGGGCAATAATAGCTCTATGTGCCGTACCATACAAGCAATGGCCTAGTGAAATTAAAATTTGCAATTTGTCCAATTAATTAATGTTATATATTCTTATTCTCACAATTAAATGGAGAAATCATAATTTGATTTGTCAATTTTAGTTAATTCAATAGGATTGGGATTAACATTTTTTTATTAAGAGGACTATTAAATTTGCTCCTTGAATTTACTTATGGGTCCCATACAATTAAGATGACACCTCTAGAAATTTTGCATGTCTTAACTGGCATTGTCACGTACCAATTTATCATGGAATAAATTCTCCCCCCACCGACTTGGTCTTGGGCCAGGGCTTACACAACGCATTTTTTAAACTTTATTTTAAATATATGTAATATCAAATAATATTATATTTACTTTAGGGAATAGGGACATATGTAGATATAAGAATAATGCATTTTAATTAAATGGTAAATGTTGGTCCATCGTGCTCAAATAAATCCAAGTGCATATTACAAACCCATGATTTTCATCTCTTCTAAGCCCATTTCTTTTTATCTTCCTTTCCTGAACCTTACAATTAAATTTGTACACAAAATTAAATCCCACGCTTAGCTGTACTTTTTGTACGTACCCCCTGGTACATAGCTAATGTTTAGTTAGCCATTGACTTACCAAAAAAAATAATCGGTCACGATAGTAATGCTAATTAATCATGATGATCCCTTGTCATGCATATTATTAAAATTAAGCATGTAATTTAAAATTAATTTATCATTACATTTTTTATTTGGACAGTCTAAATACCACGTATATGTAGAATTGAAATGAATATATAATAAAAAAAATAAGAATCATTTTAGTCTACCCAAATATTTACTTCTTTTAATTAATTAATTGTAGGTAAAGCAGAAGATAAATTAATCAAATTCAATATCAAAATTAAAAAAAAATATATGAGCCAAAGAAATTAAAGAAGAACAAGAATATCAATTGGGCAAACTTATGTTCCCCACCGAAGACATTATCCACGTGCATATAATTCACTTTGGGTTTGGCTTAAAAATTGATCCACATCTTGTAATCAAATTAACCCTACTATTATATATATATATATTTATATGTAACCACCCCACTGCTATTATTTATATATATATATATAAACCTACTATATTATACATTTCCATTAATATTATTATATATTAGAATGGAATTATGATATTGGATATGTATGTATTATTGATGTATAAGCTAGATCACATTAACTTCTTCATGATCGACGTACATGTGCGCGCGGACCATCTGCTTCCCCAGACACGGAGCTCAAACCGTCACCATCAACTCTCTCTGTCTCTCTTTCAATACATACATATATATATATATATAAGTCTGAATATATAAACTTGGTAAATTTATGATATATATATAGTACTTTAATTTTTATAATTAATTCTATTGAGCATGGAAAAATGAGGCGGTACACAAAGGTACAGGACTGCAAATCTACTAAATGAACTGGGCCCAATAATGAATTATTATTATTATTATTATTATATTTTTAGTTCAAATTAATAATTTAATAAAAAAATTATAAATTGAGACAAAACAAAAAAAATAAATCAAGATGCGAATCAAAATGGGACACCCCAGAATTGGTGTATGTGCAACGAGACAATTGTTATTGAAGCCTTCTCTAATTATTAAAATGGTGAATTTCTTTTTTTCTTTTTAATTTAAAAATTACATTAAATAAAACACAAGATTCATTTTTTTTTTCTAATTATATTATGATCTGACATTTATAATATTCAATTTTATAAAATTAAAAATTTAACTTATTAATATATTATTGGTAATACTACAATGATTAACTTAAATTAATTTTTAACAAATTTATTACATTTATAAATAAATAAAAAAATTTATGGTAAGTCTATTATGTTTTCAAATAATTTTGTTAATTACTCTCTAATTTTAACTAACTAATCTCTAATTAGCATGAGAAAATTCTCATTAGTTGACCTGCAAAAACCTTCTCTTATAAACTAAACTTAAGAAAGTGTCAATAAAATATCTTTTTATGAAATTGACTTTCAAACGCTGGAAAATTCTTTGCTTTTAGAAAAATCATTTAAGGTGTTGAAGGGAAAATTACATATACATATATATATATATATATAAATAATGATATACGGGCTGCTCAGCGCCAATCAAGGGTGAGCTACAAGGTTGTGAGATCAAACAAACTGTTCTTCACCTAACAATCTTTTTTCCTTAATTCCCGCCACTAAATTGCTACTCCACTTAATTTTCATTGAATAATTTCGTCAACATTCTCCTTAACTCGTTTAGATTATCAGAAACAATTTTTAAGATTTCATAAGTACACGTCAATTCCCCTTCGTATGTTTGAGAATATTAAGATTTAATACATGCTCTAAAAAGTCATACTATGAGTTCTTGTATACATATATATATATATATATATAAAAGTTGTGTAGGCTGAGAAAGTGACATGTTAGTTTTCATATGACCTTTTTGACAAGAGATCAAATTGGCTTTCGCTAATTTCCCCAACCACATTCTGTCAATAACTCAATTCTTGAACCAAAAACATTGACAGAAGAAATTGAAAAAGAGAAAGTTAAAAGACTTTTGACAATACCCAAATGCATCAAACCAGGCCCTAATCAAATCTAAGATAGATATATATATATATATATATATAAAAGCCTAGAAGCAAATGGGTTTTTTTTTTTTTTTTTTTGTTTGTTTCTTCTCAAAGTAAAAAGGTATATATGCCAACAATGACTTGATATGATCTGTTGTACCAATTATAGTGTAGCTTTTTTTTATAGGCTAATTAACCATTAATTGTTCTCAAGTTCCAGGGCATGACACATGGGAGAGATTAGCAGGAACCCTAATTATTGGCACATGGGTACCCAATAAAATTAATTATATCTATGCACATACATCTAAGATTCTCCAATTGGCTAATTTAGGAGCCGTAGATCCCACCTTTAATCACCTAATTTTATATATATATATATTCCGATTATCAAATGTGCCAAAAGCTAAATCGACAAAACCCTTCTCTTCTCTCCCAAATCATTTAAAAACAAATTAACACCGTGATCTTTTATCAGTCCCACCATTGCTTTTCCACTGTAAACAAAAGGCAAAAACCTAGATAGGGCTCCGAGCATCTTATAATATATATATATATATATATAAAATAATAGTAAAATATAGCTGATAATTCCGAAAATTTTGGGAGGGGAACGTTACAGGTATATATAATCAGTTCCCCATGAATCGTGATGCCACTTTCTACGATCAAATCCCATATCCGCAGGCATTATACCATATATGTGTTTGTTGTATGCATGTAGTACACATGTTTTCTAGGATATGGAAATACTAAATACGTGTCTCTTAATGATTTGAGGGTATAAATTCTCTATTCAAAATTTTTTATCGTAAATATTTAATTACATTTTAGGTTGTTCCAAAAAGAAGTTGATAAAATTCTTTTTTTATATTTAAAATTACCATCTTCATATAAAATAATTATTATAGCAACGGTGTTATTAATTAATTTTTTAGTTTTTTTTTTTTTTTTTTTAAATATTAATAAAAAAAGAAGATAATATTACTCTTAATTGCTAAAAGGCTACGTATGATTTGCACGTGTGTGTCGGTGTCTTTTCGGTTTATCATCAAAACCATCTTTTCATCTTTCAATCTCTCACCGCACAACTGCATATGTACAGACACAAATACTCCATTCTTCAGCCAACCCTAAATTGACACATCTGTAACTTCTCTCTCTCTCTCTCTCTCTCTCTCTCTCTATATATATATATATATATGTGATGATTTTATACATAAAAACATATTGTTGTAGACATAATTTCATGGTTTCATGTTTTGCAGTTGGACTACATATGCATCTAACGCACACCGTGTGAGAAATTTTCATGGCTGACCCTAATTATGTTTGTTTCTACATGCATGTGTTGCCATATCTTTAAGCTTGAAGCTTCGCATGTGCAACAAATTAATTTTGGCAAAACCAAATTCTTAATGTACAAAACAATTTCTTTTCTACCTTAATTAATTTGAAATAATTTCTTTATTTCAAAAAGAGATTATAGTAAGCACTACGATTGACTTCTCTAAAAAAATAATTCTGAGAAAAATAAGATTGAAAAATTAGAAGAAACAATGAAGAAAGAACGGCCCAATTGACCCAATAAATCAAATTTTCTTGCAGTCCAAAGTTTATCAAATTGGGCTCTACTCCTATTCTGAATCAAGAGTTATACCCACTTTCATTTCCCTTTTTAAGATTGCAATTAGGCTTTCCCCAAAAGCAATCCATCCCTGATGTTTTACACCACTAACCCAGATTGGATTCAAAAGGGCAAAAAACTTTCAGTCCTGCTTAAAACCCTAGATCAAATTCAAAGCTTGATCCAGCCCTTTATAGAAAATTTCCTACAGAGACCATATAAGAAAATCCCCGAACAAAATTCAAAACTTTTTCTGTCCTGCTTAATTTCTCTGTCAAACCCAAAAAATCCCTTTCTAGCATAATGTTTTGTTACTCACAATATTTGATTACAAACACTAACATTTTATATTGTTATGTACATTATAATTTTTTTTTTTTGAGAAAAGCGGTTTTTCTCTACATATCAATATATAACAATAAAAAACTACTAATAATTAATGTTCTAAATTCAAATTTGGTGAACATTTGTTTTTTTCTCGGTAATACAAGTGCCACAATCTCTTCAAGCACGTAACTAGCTTGTTTTTCTTTTTTTTTCCCGATAAGATGGTGCCAGTTCGTCCTTAATTTTATATGTATATGTCTGCATGCTCTCCAAGGGATTGGTTCTTTACTTGTTGATGAAGTGTTGATAATATAAAACCCTTTTAGTTTTAATATTTATATACAATAAGAATAATTGAGGTGAGGTTGGGAAAGAGATATAAATATAATGGTTTCATTATCTATAAACCCTTTTAAAATTCCAAGACGTCACCACTCGCAAAAGGACAATGTGATGAATAGAATTTAAAGAAAAATAGAAATTTCCAAAGTTGGCAGCAATTATAATTCAATGTAGTACAAAAATTGTTCTCCCTTGAACTACCCAAAAAAAAAAAGAAAGAGTGAACTTTAACCATCCTAGATCTTTATTATAACGACAAGTGATCTGAAATACAAAAAAAAAAAAAAAAAAAAGGGTGCCCCTGAGTTTGACTTGATCCCTCACTCACAAGTCATAAATGAAGAGACAGATCAAGCTTTTGATCTTTATCTTTATGATCATGACCGACATTGTTGTGATTGTTATCCACCAGAACAGGTGGAATGTCCTGGGGCAAGCTTCCTCCGTTGCATCTTATGCTCCTCTGCCAATTTAACATACTTCGTTCATCTTCCTCCAAATGATGATGAGGCGGAGGCGGAGGACGATACGCAGTGGTGGAGCAGCCTCCACCATGAAAGGCAACGTTATCGAACCTTGCAGCTCCGTTTGCTCCAAAGCCATCGGAGAAGTGGTTGGTGGGGAAGTAGCGAAAGTTGGTGGCATGAGCGGTTATATACATTGAAGGGTGTAGAAGGCCTAAGCGATGGTGAGTCGGTGCAAAAACCAGTGGTAAAGATGGGGTGTTGCTGGAGGAGAAATGGGTGGGTGCGTATTCAGAAGCTCTTTTAGCTTTTCTTGCGGCTGTTCTTTCCTTCTTGTGGGCGTTTTGATGGCCTCCCAAGGCTTGGGAGCTATAAAACTTTCGTGAACAGAACAGACAAGGGAAGACTCTCGATGTGGTGTCTCCACCGGGAGCATTGCTCTCTGAAACTCTCTCTTGATGGTCATCTTCCATTTTTCCTGTAAGAAGAGATAAGAGGCAAGTAAGTTAATAGTGTTTATGGCATGCAAGTGCAAAGAATTGGGTTGAGTTTACGGACACGATATGTTTGGGGGAAAAAGGAAAAGAACATGAGAGCGAGAAGAGACCTTGAAGATGGCGAGCAGAGGAAATGGGGGTAAAGAGGAATATGGCAGTGGAGATGAAAGAGTATGAAACTGAAAATGTAGAGAAAGAGAAGCAAATATACTACTGATCTCATAAAGGGAGTAGTAGATAGAAGAGTTCAGAAGGCAAGTACTTCTCAAAGAGTTGGAAAATGTGAAGAGACTGTAAGTAATTATTAAATAGAGTGCTTCAACACAATGGGCTGTATGGGGTTGGGAACAGAAGAGATAAGAGAGAGAGAGAGAGAGAGAGAGAGAGAGAGAGAGAGAGAGAGAGAGAAGTGAAGTAATCACCAAAACGTTTCTGCATGCTCAGGCAAAGACAGTGATTGGTGAGAAGAGAAAGAGATGTTTGGATTGGGAAATGGAAATTTCCCCTACTCTCTTTCTCTCTCTCTCCGCCTTTCCTCTGTTATCTATTTCATGGGCTGCCATTTTACCTTCTCGTTAACAGGAGTTTTCTTTCAAAGTTCAAAATTTTGCTGTTTACCAGGGAGTTTCATAGACTCAGATGTTATCAAGCTATCATCTTTTGAGTTCGAGCAACATTCAATCAAGAGAAGTGTCAAAAACTCTCGTGTTTTATAAGATTTCGGGAGACACCCGCATGAAGCCTGTGTTCTTTTTTACTTTTGGTGAAAGAAAGAGAGAGAAAGTGCGAAGGAATACAAGTCAGGTCAGAATGTCAGAGGAAGCAATGCTTGGATGATCAGGTTTTGTGATCTCCAATGGCCAAAATGTGGACATATTATTGGGTGACTTAAAAGCCCAAGTCAGTCCCCACTTGATCTAAAACTGAACCATCGCCTGCTGCTGTCTCAGTCCCCCTCTCTCTCTCTCTCTTCAAAAGGAAATGGCGCTCCCCTCTTCGCATTCCTCTGCTATAACTATAAATGGTTATGGGGCTAACACCCACTAGTTCTTCATTCTCCACCGCCAATCCCACGCTATTTTGTCACTTTTTATCCCTTGCATGCCCTGAACCATGTGGTCACACCTGTTGTAAGAAGAGAACCCAATGCCTAGACCTAATTCCACCTGTTTCTTTAACACGTGGCACCCAACCCATCACCACCTTACAACAATGAATAACTTCACTTTCACCAACATACACGTCCTCATATTCAAAAAACTCGGAACAATCAAACTCAAAAACTCTCCACCCCTACCAAATTATAATGGATGACAACCCAAAAAATGTGCTATGCGGATCCTCCTTAAACCCCAAAACAATAATCTGCAGGTCATATTGTATCCCGCTTCAAAATTTTATGGACAAATTAACCAGCTCTAATACAACCACAAGGTAATGGAATTTCAAATTCACGGATCCTCATCCATGCGGTCAAACTAGTTAATTGAGGTGAGACACCGGAGAAACCAAATAAATGAAGGCTTTTGTACAAATGTTCCTTGTGTCTTTTACATGATTTATAGTGTCTGTAACAAATGAAAATACTCGCATCTATGGGAGAAGAAATGAGAATCCGTATTATAGGATTCACAACAAGAGAATTATGCCTTGGTTAGTAGAAAAGCAATTTCCATTGTGCAGCAAAAATCTGCAACTGAGTTAGAGTCAAGAACAACCAAAACATCGTCTGATTGAGAAAAGGTTTGAAGGTTCAGGTGATGGTTCAGCCTCAGCCTTTATTGGAGGGAGATGCTTAAGGAAAGCTTTCACCGCTCCAGTTACCCCATCCTCATTCTCCATCGCTTTTGCAAGCTCAACAGCACGCTCTTTCACCTGTAATGATTCATAAGTTATGTAGCAAACTTCCTTTTGTCCCAGCCCACTGTACTTCGCTATCCTCTTGACAAGAATACAAACTGAAGAGTTTCTAATCGTGTAGTCTACTAGTTACAGCTGCACCTAATATGTTTTGCTGTATAATTAATTACCTCAGGGCGGAGCATGAAATTTATTGCATTAATCAACTTGGGAAGTGAGAATTCATCCACTGGAATAGGAGGAGGACCAACTCCTCTGGCATGTACCCGCTCTCCCCAGAAAGGTTGGTCGCCAAAGAAAGGTACAATGGTTGTCGGGCACTGTAATGCAAGACAAATGAAGATCAGTCAACAAAGAAACATGTTATATAGAAGGAAAAAAATGTACAAGATAAATAAATAAACATGTCATATAGAAAAAATAATGATAAAAATAATGTATCCAAAGGGAATAAAAATGCTCTATATGGCTTCGGCATCATGCATGAGGAAAAGGTCAAGGCTGTTCGAATCGGATCCAAAGAGGAAATATGTATGAGTGGCTACTATATGCCATGGGCATTTGCTAGTTCTAATCACACGGTCGAAAAATTCAGGCTCTTATTTCACTTTTTAGTTTGCGGACATTTAGACAGAGAAACCCAAGTGCCTTTGAAGGAGCATTTTTGCTTCCTTTCAAAAAGTTCATTATATTCGGTTAAGGAACCTTTACCATTGAGCTAACTGGTAATTTTTGGTCATAAAAAGGGAACTTTTTGTTAGAGATTTGAATTATAAGATAGTTATCTTCTTCTAACTTTTGTGCACAGGTAGCACTCCCTTGCTATGAAAAAGAAATAACATGCTGTTGAATTTGTAATTTGTTGAGGGTTGGGATTGTCAGATGATGGTATAAAAAGAAAATTCTGAGGGAAAATTATGGGTATTTCAGCAACTACAGAAAGTTTACCATGTAATTATAATTCAAATCAAGAGTAATTCACTAATCTTTCTTTACATCAGAGGATCTGGACTAATTCAGAAGAACTATACTTGTTGGAATAGGCATAACTTGCATTTAACAAAAAAAAAATCTTTTTTCTTAAAATAGAAGAAAAAAATGAAGATCAGTCAACAAAGAAACATGTTATATAGAAGGAAAAAAATGTACAAGATAAATAAATAAACATGTCATATAGAAAAAATAATGATAAAAATAATGTATCCAAAGGGAATAAAAATGCTCTATATGGCTTCGGCATCATGCATGAGGAAAAGGTCAAGGCTGTTCGAATCGGATCCAAAGAGGAAATATGTATGAGTGGCTACTATATGCCATGGGCATTTGCTAGTTCTAATCACACGGTCAAAAAATTCAGGCTCTTATTTCACTTTTTAGTTTGCGGACATTTAGACATAGAAACCCAAGTGCCTTTGAAGGAGCATTTTTGCTTCCTTTCAAAAAGTTCATTATATTCGGTTAAGGAACCTTTACCATTGAGCTAACTGGTAATTTTTGGTCATAAAAAGGGAACTTTTTGTTAGAGATTTGAATTATAAGATAGTTATCTTCTTCTAACTTTTGTGCACAGGTAGCACTCCCTTGCTATGAAAAAGAAATAACATGCTGTTGAATTTGTAATTTGTTGAGGGTTGGGATTGTCAGATGATGGTATAAAAAGAAAATTCTGAGGGAAAATTATGGGTATTTCAGCAACTACAGAAAGTTTACCATGTAATTATAATTCAAATCAAGAGTAATTCACTAATCTTTCTTTACATCAGAGGATCTGGACTAATTCAGAAGAACTATACTTGTTGGAATAGGCATAACTTGCATTTAAAAAAAAAAAATCTTTTTTCTTAAAATAGAAGAAAAAAATGAAGATCAGTCAACAAAGAAACATGTTATATAGAAGGAAAAAAATGTACAAGATAAATAAATAAACATGTCATATAGAAAAAATAATGATAAAAATAATGTATCCAAAGGGAATAAAAATGCTCTATATGGCTTCGGCATCATGCATGAGGAAAAGGTCAAGGCTGTTCGAATCGGATCCAAAGAGGAAATATGTATGAGTGGCTACTATATGCTATGGGCATTTGCTAGTTCTAATCACACGGTTGAAAAATTCAGGCTCTCATTTCACTTTTTAGTTTGCGGACATTTAAACATAGAAACCTAAGTGCCTTTGAAGGAGCATTTTTGCTTCCTTTCAAAAAGTTCATTATACTCGGTTAAGGAACCTTTACCATTGAGCTAACTGGTAATTTTTGGTCATAAAAAGGGAACTTTTTGTTAGAGATTTGAATTATAAGATAGTTATCTTCTTCTACCTTTTGTGCACAGGTAGCACTTCCTTGCTATGAAAAACAAATAACATGCTGTTGAATTTGTAATTTGTTGAGGGTTGGGATTGTCAGATGATGGTATAAAAAGAAAATTCTGAGGGAAAATTATGGGTATTTCAGCAACTACAGAAAGTTTACCATGTAATTATAATTCAAAACAAGAGTAATTCACTAATCTTTCTTCACTTCAGAGGATCTGGACTAATTCATAAGAACTATACTTGTTGGAATAGGCATAACTTGCATTTAAAAAAAAAATCTTTTTTCTTAAAATAGAAGAACTATTAAGATGAGAAAAACATAATTACAAGAATGGAGAATAAGACATCTTCCCAAAATTGTCTAAAAGAAAAAAGAATATGGCATGAAATTATAGCCCCCCAGTTTCTATGCATCAAAGAAAACTAAAACACTTGAATCTGGAAAAAAGATAAGCTATCGGTCATTACCGCAGCTTTAAGTCCAGCAGCAGTTGTCCCAGCACCCCCATGATGAACCTGAAAACAAATTACAAAACATAGCACCTTTGCTGGCAATGACAAGGCCAGGACTACCTCAGATTAACAAACATAGAAGTTAATTATTAGAGTGGAATTGGAGTTCCCAGGTCCTCAACATAGCCTAATATCATGCCATCACCAATAACCATCTAAAGCTTGCACTTCATGTAAATATGATTCAATAAGAAAACAGCCAAGAGACTGTTCCCATTTAGTGAAGCAGGATAGTAGCACTCTCTTACAATAAAAGCAGCAGAGCTGTCTATTGCCACTCCACTGCAAAAAGGAAATAGCCAAGAAAGCATCCCATTTAGTGAAGCATAAGAGAAACAGTAATGCTGTCTGTCATTCTCCTCTCAGAACATGCCCCTACTTTTCCAATATTTGTGGTGATCAGCAAGGAACTTTCAAGAATATTAATAATTTAAGACAACATCCAGCAACTTGGGTTGATTGTCACCTACTTTCTTAATCATTTGTGCTCTACTTTCTTAGTAATTCAAATGTCATAAAACAGTCATGACCGTCGCAGATAACCTTCATCTTCAACCAGATCCTACCTAGGAAAACATAGTCATACAAAATGATTAACCAATAATAATATGCCTGGACTGATAAAGCTTTACACTAGAGAACTTCCCTGGATGAAATTCGTCAGTGTTAAGTCTTAAGTCACACTGCAAATGGCTTGTCTGAACCACTTGGCTAACATCCTCTTCTTAAATCCGACAAAGAGAGTGGTAATTGTGCTATTCTGCTTGACCTCTTCAACAGTAATTGTCCTCTTTTTGTTTTGGAAAGGCGGAAGTTCGAAGGGATGAACAGGAGACAGAACTTAAGAGAAGATCAATAGACAAAGTCATAAGAAAGACAAGGCTGATACGACCAGCTCTACACCTCAATTCTCCGTGCAATGAAGGTTGGAGAAAACAAAGAGCAATTCTTCCTACCTGTCTGTCAAAGTCCATTTTGGTTATGGCCTTGGAAATATTACTATAGTTCTTGTTTCTCTTACTTTTTCCCCTCTCCAAAAAAACAATGACCACCTTTGTGAGACAAGACACTTATTTTCTTCCTTTCTCTTAAAAAGGATCATCTCTATGAAAAAGGACTGAAAATAAACAATGTATTTTTTTGATAAAAAAGATACACTAAGCCATATCTGAGATGTTATAATATAAACTTACAACAGCCTTGCACTGTAAGAATAGCCAGTCATGAGGGCAATTGTCCAATAAATATATGAAGTCCTTCGGTTCAGCCACTGGGAGAGAAAAATTAAGACACAAATAAATCACTAGGTTTATACTAGCTGAAAGATACTATGAGAGTAAAAGAAAGTTAAGATACATTTAAGAACTTAAAGACAAGTTAGGATATAAAAAAATGATTGTTCTCTCAAAAAGAATCTCTCCAAAAAAAGATATAAGGTAACTAAAAACTTACAGTTCCCAAGGCCACCCCACCCTTTGTTGATGATGCCTCTCTGTCCGGTTTCTTGAAGTGCTTCCACGATTATCTGAGTCATTTTTTCTGGCTCTTCAACAGGCTGGAATGAGAAAAGGGAAAAATTAAGTTTTCAAACTGCAGTAAATTGAAGATTGAAAGATGATACACATCCTATGCCAATTAGTACTCTTCTTCTTTTCTTGAAAAGGAAAAGAGAAAAAAAGACTCAAGGATCCACCTTATAAATAGTAAATAACACAAGAAATTCTACAATGCCCGTTCAGTTGAACAACCTTTGGGGAGGTATAAGATAATTGGATCAACTTATCTCACAGTCAGATGCACTCGTACTGTAATCCGACATGAGCTTTCAAACAAGAAATAAAATAGGTTTTGATTGGATGGACAGGTTGAATAAAATGGAACCTAATACCATTTTCGTAAATTTGGTCCAGTAATTGGGTAACATAAATGCAAATTTGCTAAAATTTTTGGTAATTTGGTTTCAGTTTTTAATTCTTAAAGAAATTTGGTAATTCGTTTTTACCAAAATACTATTTTTTTCACAAAAAACTTAAACACTTAAAAAGTAACAAAACTAAAAACTAAAAATTTTTAATTTTAATTTCAAATTTAGTTTTCTAATTTCAGCCAGGGAAAAAAAAACATGTTAATAAGTTTATATAATAATAAATCATATGTATGTAAAAATAATCTACCTTTTTAAATAAAAAATTAAGATAATTACATGAAATCAACTTTTTTATTCTAATATTTTTATTTTTCTTTTCAAATTGTAAAAAGAACCAATTAAAAAAATTGGTAATTTCAGTAAAAACCAAAACTGAACAGAGTTTCCGTCCTTTCCGCTAGTTTGACTTTAGTATCAGTCTCAAGAATTCGGCAATTTAGTACTTTGGTAACTTTCAGTTTCAGTATTACCAAAGTTCTAATGCTATGGACTATGGAGGAAGAGCTTCTATTTTGTCCATGAAGGGTACATAATTATGTAATCTGAATGGATGAAAGATGCTTTTATGCTGGCTATGCAATTATTTAGTAAATAGACTGCTTCTTAAACTGTGGCACAGCAGCACCTTATTGGTGCCTTGTGAATTTTAAACCTGCCTCCTATCAACAATTGTATACATATATTATATTGTGCAGTAATGGTACCACAATTCACAACTCTGATAAATATTTAAGGTTCTCTAAGCATGCATAGATTCAATATTTTTTAGAAAAAGGCATAGATTTAATATTTTAACTGTATAGAAAATTAACTAATAGCAAGAGAACTAAGAACAACAAACTCACAAGGCTACCGAATCCAACATAAATAGGCCTTGTACCAGCTTTAAGCCATTCTAGAAGTGATTCAGGAGGTTCATAATTTGATGCAAGATCAAGGAAGCAAAACCCTACCACATCAATCTTAGGACCCCAATCTGCAAGACAAGAAAAAATAAGTTAGATTATAAATATATATCCTTCAAGAAAGAGCCATTTCCACATATCCAAGCAAGTAGCCCAGCTGTAAACTGTTACCAACCAAAATGGACAAAGACATACTTGACCAACTAGATTATTCAAAAAAAGAAATTTTGATAGAAAAAGAAGCAATTTTTTGAAAGAAAGCATGGGCAGGAATCACCTATTTGGATATTAATTATTACCAAAAAAGAAGTATTAGAAACCTGGACCAGGAGCAACCACCTTTTGGTTTAGGAACAAGATGTGGACTCCAAATATATCCATGCGGTATATCAGAATCATGACCTTGGGAACCACTTAAATACGTAACAGGCCGTAGCTTCAGTTTTTTTTTCCTTAAATCATTTATCATGTCCCGTATCCCAAGCCAAATCAACGAGTCAACAATTTGATATGAAAGCTGAAAATACCATGAGGTTAAAACAGAAAATAACAATAAGCATTAAGATACGAATCATATTATAATAAGATAAGTATAGAAGTAACCCACCCGATACCCAGCAGGTTGCTTGACACGGGACAAAGGATGAGGAAACTCACTAGTTGGCCTGGAAAAAACACAATAATTTTTTTTAAGCAGTTTAAGAGTCTCAATAAACTGACCACACAGGAGAACAATATTTTAGACTAAAACTTATACAGCAATATTTGTAAAAGCCATATTTCATTACCCAGGCAAGACTTACGTCCATGGCATTGTGAAAAATATATGAATTGGTATTTTTAGTGCCTCCGCCACATGTGTATGCCCTAGAAACGCATTTTTACAATGTTAATACTGAAAGATGTAAGCAGATATTCTAAAATCCACATGTAAACAGCCAGTTCCAACCACTAAAAATCCAGCATGTAAATATGAGCAGGGGTTAACAGAAAGCATGAAAACTATTTTCATACAGCACAAAATAAATATAATAAAAAGAAACAAGGTCAATTTTTTTTAAAAAAAACCTCTCTTTCCATCTTTTTATTCTAAAGTAGAACTTTGATACCTGCCATCAGTCTATTCTGAAAAACTACATTAGGCCACTAGAGATTTGCAAGCAAATCATTTACAAATATTTTTTAGTAGACTGCTCTTGCATATCCTTAAAGGGATAAAATTACTCTTATAGTTAATCTGTTATTAAACTTGTTGTATAGTTTGTGTACATTATTACTCTTGTATTTTTGTATCATAAAGCTGTAGAACCTTAACCTACAAGGATTAGCTTGTAGAGCTCTGATGGTACAAAAAATATAAAAGTAATGATATACACAAACCATACAGCAAATTAATAACATAAATGTACTCTTCGATGAATAAATATACTTTTATAATATGCCTTTATTCATCAATGTTATTTATCTATCATCCATTCAATCTTCGAGAAAGCTCAGATCAGGCAGACAAGATTTTAGTTAACCTGTTACAAAAATCAATAGTTCATTAATAACAAACATAATTAAAATAGTATGGCTTATTTTTTATTTAATTTAGATGTCTAATAACTCATATAATTATATGCGAATACTTTCAATTATTTTGATTATGCATTCTGGTCAATCAATTATCTTTTAAATAGTTGATTATCAAATCTCCAGATAGACAAAATGCAACCCATAGTTTCCTAAAATATTTTTAGGGGTCAGTGTAGAATACAAGCATCAATATGACAGAACGTTCAAATCAAGGATGAATACCTCCTATAATTTTCCTCATATTAGTGCTTCCAGAAATTAGATAATGGACAGATAATTTGTTATTATAATCTTCCCCATATCATTCTATTAAAAAATTAGATTATGGACATAATAACTTTTGACCCACGAAAAATTTATATTTTCATAATCCTCTAAAATATATTTTCATAATCACATAAACTTTTACAATAGAAAGTGAAGAGAAAAGAATGGTTAGGGAACCCAATAAGAGGCAATCATGTTGTACGTGGCTAAACACCAGGACTAACTTAAAAGTGATGGGCTCTTACCATATGCTGGGGGATTTGCAATTATCGCGTCAGCTTTAAAGGGAATGCCAGAATCTAGATCAGGTTCTTTGCAAGCTGGAAGTAAGGAGTATATTATTTCCTTTATTTGATTTCTTTGAATTGGTATCTCTGAAGGGCCGGATGGCAGAAATCCTTTGTTTTTAACCATGTCTGTGCATTAAACCAAACCATCAATTGATAGTATCACCTTATAATTCTTTTTTCAATGAAAATGAAGCATTATTAATAGAGAGAGAAAGGAAATAACAAGTGAAAAGGATAAGACATCCACAAAAACCTCCAAGAAGCATAAGCTTATAATTCAATTCAATAGAACCACACAGATTCGATAGGACCATCAAAGACAATATAAAAAAGCATAATAACATCAATAAAGCATGAAGAAAACAGCCATCAACAACCAAGGAAAGCAAAACTCATCTAAAAAAACTTAAATGAGCGACTTACAATTCATACCATGTATTAATGCATCATTTTTTAATTGTGCATTTGTGCAAATTGACAATTGTAACTAAGGTTGCTTCTGGTTCAATTCCATTCATTTTCCTAGTCAATTCCTACTTCTAATTTTTATATTGTCCTTACTATGCAAATTAGAAAATAGTTTCTTGTTTTTGCATTACAAAGTCCCAAATTGATCCTCAACAGTAGGAATACATCTCCTATTTTTCACGGTGAGAGTTGAATTTCTACCATCAAAGAAGTCAAAATTGTGTTGATGATAACTCAAACATAACAGATTATGTCCGAATAATGAATATTAAGATTAATATGAAAAGTACAATAACGAGTCAATTAGAAATTAAATGGGAATTGAACCAAACACAATGTAAGAGATTTTGAAACAGAAGAACTAAACGATAGAGCAATATAGCATTGCCACATAATTTCGGTGCCTCCCTTAGAAAGAGATTACTGCTTGCTACGATCCAACTTTCATTTCAAAGCAATTGCAAAACTCTGTTTCTTGGTTGCCCATTATTTGTCTCGCTCTATATCAACAGGTGAAATGCATTTAACTGTAAGAAAAAACAGTGGTGATAACCAACAGACAATTACTTTGCAATGTCTAACAGGAATTGGAGGTGTAGAGGGGCATCCCAGCTAAGGAGAGCAAAGGACAATCTCATTTTTATGTCCATTCTCATATCCAAAGAAAAGTTTTAGGTGGCCAATGACATTCCTATATGTTGATATGCATATGCCTTTTTCTATTAAGGAAGACTAAGCAATCATAATACCTGAATCTATGAATTATAAGGAGCACCACTTAGGCGACCTTGATAAATGTCACAAGGTTTAAATTTCCAAGGCCCCTCAGCACCACTTCCAATGACCCAAAGTCAAATTCTTCTATGATGTAGCTGGGTCAAACTCTTGTAGGAAGCAGCTGTGCTGCTTCTTAATTATAGCAGTTCTAAAAAATACCACTTTGAGAAATTGTGAGATCATTTTTGAGGAATTAGGGGTGTAGAGTGGCATCCCAGCTAAGGAGAGCAAAACTCATTGATCCATCCAGCCAATTTTTTGAGTCATATTGACATGAAAGAAATAGAAAAACATTTAAAGGAAAATACTCTCAATTCACAAGATTAAAGATATATGGTTCAGACATCTAAAACTCTCACTCTGTTTAAGGGTCACGTCCCAATTGTAAAAAGAATTTACAGACCTGGCACACCAAGTATTGAACACAAATCCCACACCCACACCAATATCACATCGGACACGACATGGGTATGGCACTAAAATTGAAGAGCCCAAGCAACCTAGTACAAATCAAATGCTACATCAACCCTAGATTGCATTCAATCACATGGGACACATATATAACTAATTCGGAAAGATAAGAAGGGACAATAATCAAATTGCATATAGACGACCACCCAATAATAGAAGAGCAGGTAAGTTAGTTACATACAACCAGCAAGAACTTTTGGATCTCCTCCTAGAGGATAAAATTCCAATCCTGCAGTCAAGACAAACTCTTTGAAATTTGAATGTGTTGCAAGTCTCACTCTATGGCCGTAATCCTGCATGCAAATATTTCACAAAAGAATTGATGATCCTAGATAGCCACAAAAATAAAAATCCAAATCCAGTTTTTCTTCTCCTTTCCCTCCTGTGATAACAACACCCCCAAAAACAGTTGGTCACTCACCACAGTTTTGTAAGGACATGGGATCAAGGTAACTAAATCCAAAATCCGAGGACACCTAGTAAACAATATCTTCACACCTTATCATGGTGTCAATGTCAAAGAAAGTTGTAGCTACTTCAGAAGGAAAAAGAAAAGTAAAATATATATGTATATGTATATATAAAAGCAACGTGCAAGAATAAATATGGGAGATATATAGAAGAAAAGAAAATGTCTAGGGATTGTAATCAGAACAGACAATCATGCTTCATTTGGCAGGCACTTCAGTGAGTTTGAAATACCTAGCTGATTTGCTTCACAGAGAAATAGAAGGACACATGCATTACATGAGCAAAACTAGCATTATTCCCATTTTTATATAAAAATAACCAGATCCACATAACCTGCAGACGTTTGCCAATTGCAACAAATGGCTGTACATCCCCTCGAGTTCCAACAATAAGCATTACAATTTGCAATGGAGGTCTATACTCAACATCTGGCACATCAATGGGCTCAGTAGCAGCAACAGTAGCTTCATTAGACCTAACACCAAGGACCTGAGGCTCAACATCTACAGGAACTTCAAATTCCACTGTCCCGTCACCCTTAACAGTAGCTATTCTGTTCAACAATTTAAGCTGCACAATTTTAAAAGTTTTAAATAAAATCCTCTGGAAATATGTCTACAGAGTTAAAGTTATCACCCTATGCTTGAACTTATTAACCTAACCTTTAATAATAAAAAAAGAATAATCGTAACATGCAAAGTAACAGAAAAACTAATGGCAAAAGTGCTATATTTAGTCTATTTGCTAAATTTTCTATCCATTAACATTTATTTCTTAATCCTCAACTCCAACCATTCAGATTCTTATTGACCTTAAACATTTAAATAGATCAAGGTGCAATTTACAAGCATACTAATCCATTAAGGAGGGAAAAGGTTGTCTGTACTTAAGCAGGAAACTAAACACCCTTGTCTTTTTAGGAGTCTGAGATAGTTATTTAGAGAAAAAATAAGCGTGAGTTGCATTTACAAAAATTTAACAGGTCATTTCACCAGAAACTCTCATATCTCCTTCCACTGCTCTGATATTTCTCGTACTTCTCTCTTTAACTCCACTATCATACAGAAATACCAAGATGTTTTGAAGATGTTCTAAACCAGGATCTTCGATTGCATCATGTCTATTACATCCATTTACACCTTTCTTTTCAATGTATGAAGTGCAAAGGCAATCAAACCATTAAGGCCAAAAGGATTAAAGAACAAGAAAAATAAGACGTCATTATTTAAATTCATAAAGTCATCATTATGTGTATTATGTGTTGATCTAGCCAGAGTTGTGCTACACATATCCCTAATTTCACATGAACAACAATGCATTACTGAAATTTGGATGACTAAGTATGATAAAAATAATCCTTAACCAAGGAATTTAATCCAAAATTTAAAACCATCAGAAGTAAATAAAATTTTGCTGTAGCACACGAGTAACAGTCATTAACTTCATTACCAAAACCAGATACAATCATGTAATTGGGTTTCTCCAAAAATTTCTATACTAGCATTACATAAACTACATCAATTATTCAAACTAAAAATGCCTATAATACAGAAAAAGTCAATTTTATTTGAAAACTCAGAAGGAATATCACAGGAGCAAAGAACATTAAACAAAAACGATATGCAGATACCGGTCCATTAAGAATCTTACCTTCTGGTGAGCAGAAATCTTATCATCAAAAATCTGTGCAGCCTCTTCAGCAAGTATGTTGTGACGTCTCTGCCTCTCAGTTTTTGCTTTATCAAACTTTGGATAATCTGAACTTGATTCCATTTTTTCAATTTTTGAAATATCCACTGGCATTGTGTTCATCCTAAAAACATTTCTATCACCAGGACCTAGCCAAACAATAGACACCAAGGATATAAGATAACAACCAATTTTTGTACTTTCCTCGAGTCAAATTGAAAAGCCAAGGAGGTTCTTGCTTTTGTTAGAAAAAGGAAGTATTATTCACATAAAGATAAAAGAGAAATGTACAAATGTAGAGAAGAACACCCCCTTAGGAATATTTTTAAGAGAGAGAGAGAGAGAAAGAGAGAATACAAAGGGATGCTCAACTAACAGGACTGTAGAAGAGTAAACTTACCTCCTAGAAAAAACAACCCACCTTTCCAACGACCAAGCTGCCTAGAAACCCTACTGACTACATTATCCCAGAAAGAGACAGCCTAGGATTAACCCATAAGGGAACACCATGATAAGACCATGACAAGAAACCACACCTGATTGACTCAGCAAGCCCTCTAACGATCTTATTATCTACACTAATCCCCGAAATGCCACTCTTTTTAAGGCTGATATATTATGTATAATTACTCTCAGAACTTTTGCATTAAAATGAGAGCACTATCGACCAACCTATGATTTTGAGAAAGAAAGAGAATAGTATCATCAGCAAATGAAGATGAGAAATCTAAACTCTATTATCCCCAGGAAGAAGGCCTTTAGCCAAACCTCTCCCAGATCCCCTGATCACAATAAAAAAAAAGTAATTATCCCGAATAAAAATCATTAGTGTGAATCTGATCTAGTTGAAACAAATTCTAAAGGAACTGAAATGTGAAGGTGAGCAATAAACTGCTCAATTTCTTGGCTTGACAGCACAAGTTGAATGCAATTAACTTTTTCTTTATCGTTCAAAAAGCAATTTCGGTTTATTAAATTAAACAGCAGTTGCTAGACCTACACATCCATAAGCATTTCTCCACTCAAGAGAAAATACACATAGATTCAACACAGATTTGTACTTGGTTACAACACGGGGCTAGTCATTAATTAGTATACTTCCTGGGAAAACGTACAATTCAATATAGAAAAACCCTGAAACAAAACGAAGCTCAGAATCTGACGTTTCCCAGCAACCAGGAAGATCGATTAAGTCTGGAAAAGTATACCTAAGGGACTGAAAACAACACTCCCTAAGGGGCTCCGCCGACAACTATATACTGTTGTGTGAAGCCAAATAAAATAAGGACTTAACGTTCCCTATCAACCAAACGACAAAGAACCAAAAAAGAAAATCAAATAAATAAAAATAAAACGAAATTCGGCACACCTGAAGATTCAGTGCCTCCATTATCCGCAGAGCCACTACCAGGTGCCTCTCTGTTCCGTAGCTCTTTAGCGCCGTCGCTACTACTTTCTTCTCCCATTTGGCGCTCTATTTTCACCGAGGCGTCATCGGAACTCAACGAAGAAGATGAATAGTTACGGCAATTCTCGGACGAGCCTGGCATCGCGACTTCCGGCGAGCTCCGCGCTCGCTGTAGTTGATCCAGATCCTCAGTAGGTTCGTATGCAGAGAGTTTGTGAGACTTGCGTATTGTGGTCGCCTGTGTGTATGGAATTCGAGAAAAGCAGATTCCCCTTCTCCCGGGATCGGGATGCTCGAGAAAAATGGCACGTTCGAAAGCGTGGGTGACGAGTGTCTGGGCGAAGTGGTGGGATTTGGCCTTTAATAAGAGACACGTATACAAACTGCCCGCTTTTAGGGGTATTTTCGTCAAATCAACTCTTCTCTCGGCGACTCACGGAGTCCAAACGATGTCGTATCTGTCCGTCGAGTTCTTTCAGTCTCGTCAAACGCGGTCTTGGCGCCTTGGCTCTGCGACTTCATTCAACAAACTGCGGTACGCGTGAGAAAATAAAATAAAATTTAATTGTCCGAAAATCAAATAAAATATATTTCTTTCGCGGAATTTTATTACTCCGACAACAGAGTGCAAAAATATTTTTTTAAATGGCGAATGTGATTTGAAAAAATGTTGCGTGATTGCCCCTCAATTTACACCCGAAAAAATAAAAGATTTATAATTTACACAACGAGTAATTTCAATTGTATGGAGAAATAAAAAATTCAAATTTATATATGACTCAGCTGTACGCATAGGAATAGAATTTTGCCCAACTCAAAAGCCACCCACAAATAATTTTCTAAGAACAAAAACCTTTCGGTACTTTTACTCGGGCTGATGCCAACCTAAAATAGATCTAGATTCTGTTACGTTGTTCGTTGGAAAAAAATATATATATTATAAAGGTAATATTACTTTTACAGGTTTAATCAATATTCTCCATTTTGTATCTTATATATATATACATATATATATATTTAAGAAACATTTAGCTACCACTAGAATAAGATGTTTAATAATAAATGAAGAAGTCTGAAAACTTTTGTATTTTCTATAT